AAAAACTGCAACATGACAGCTACAGCAAAAATCCCCCATAAATGGATGTCATCATCCAAAATTACGTCCTAAATAGTGACCAAGCATCTCTGTAGACATGGAAACATGGGTTTGCCACATCAGAAGTAGCAGGAAAGGAAAGCTGTAAAAACATATTTGTGGTTTTCTAAGTAAAGTGGTTTGGGTTATTTGCTGTATGCTCTGTTTGCTATAGATATTTGTAACCTCAAACCCACATTCCTAACAGCGCTCCAAGACTTCATCATCTCATCATCTACACATCATCAAAACTGTCCGCACTAACTGCGCTGCTGTCTCTAATTAGGCTGTTGAATGTAAAATACTTCATCAATAACAGACCCAAGTCAGGGTAGACGCCATAATTAATTTGATGAAAATTAAGCTGTAAGAAGTTGTCATGATCCCAGGCCATGTTGTCTTTTCACAACCATTTTTTTGTACTTCTTTTTTCATTGGAAAACATTTGGAAGACTGTATGTTGTTGGCTGAATCAGGGACAAGTGAACCCAAAGACAGTCTAATTATTCAGTACTTCCCTATAAGACCAAATAGTCAAGCAGTCGTTTTTTGAAAATATGCCGTTTTCACATCCTTACTATAAGGTCCATTTCCACATATGCGTAAATGGTGAATATCAGAAGTACCTTTATCCCACCCACACCACCAATGCTCAGCGTTTTGCCGTCACTGGAAGTCTCGCTAAGAACCCAGCCCATCAGCTTCCACATTTGTTTCGTCCTTGATTAGGAATCGCAGTCTTTAAGATTATCGATCTGGCCCAGCCGGTTGGTCCCTTTAGATCCCATCAAACAATCAGCTGGCTGATCAGAGTAAATTAGTTTTGCAAATCAGAGGCGAGAGTCTAAGGCCCATGAACATGAGCAGAAGAGAGAGTTTCGAGGGATCAAACTTAATTATTGCACTGCTTTCAAGCCAGAGCCACCAACAATGTAGATTAAGTCATTAATAAACACTTCTCCAAAGGCAAGACCAGCAAGGCTTCGGGAGCGTTCTCTTTGTCTCTTTTCATCTGTAAAGGAAAATAGCGGCACAAGGGCAGCAACTGTGAACAGAAGCAGAATGATTTTAAAGTAATTATACGCCGAGCCATTATATTTTGAAAGCCTGCTATTCTTTTTTGTCCGTTTTGTTTGCATTGATTTAATTTGTTTCCTTGCAACAAGGGCAACACAGAATTTGTCTCTCACATCACTGATGCAATCTTACATGCCTTATTTGCATTTGACCTACAGAAACTTTCTTTAGATTGCTTTGGTCCAAAAACGACTTGCTAAACAACAATGTGTCTGGTGCTACAATATGGGGTGTCAATATAAAACCTTGAAAAAAAGGACAATTTTTTGTCAGATTTAACAAAACAAATAATCAGATTTACATTTAGAGTATAAGGCATTATTAGACATAAAGTGTTGCCACTACCTGACAGATATCAGAGAGTCATTGTGACATGTTTCTGCGACAGCTCTAGGTTCTGAAAAAGCTAAAAGAAGAATCTCTTTCTTCTGAGGAACACAAAAAGAGAAATTACGAAGACTGGTGGTTGCTTATTACAAAAAAAGACACTAACCTGGTTAGCCTGGTTCATTTTACTTATGTGGTCATTTTGTGCTCCATGAAAGAAAGAAATAATGGCCAAAGGTTTATTTTTTCATGTACAACTAAGGCATAAAATGTTGGTATGGTATATTTGCTATATTCAAAAAAAGGTTTTTTGATCATTCTGGTCGCGCTGTTATATGCTAAAATATTATTTATTTGTAATTATGGTAAAAAATTTGGTCAAATTTAGGGATAAATAAAACTGGTACAACTGGGATCTTCTATGCAATTTTTATCATATTTTTAAATACAGCAACATTGTGCCGTTATATGCTAATATATTGAATACAATTTTAAATAAATATAAAAAATTGGCTATTCTATGCTAAATGTGTTGGGTTGTTTTTGAAATACACTTTAAATATGTCTTACGGATAGTTAAATCTGCTAAATGTCTTAGCTAGATCTAAATCCAGAGGACTTATATCATTGATATATAATCGCCAGGGCTGGATTGGTAATCGGGCATTTTCCCGGTGGGCTGACAGAATGTTTTTTTGCTGAAAACCATCACGCAGGGACAGCGAGCAGCCAGTGGCCCATTGGTTTGTCTCCTGTATTGACAGCGTAAACATCCAATCACAATGTAATGACTGCGAAAAACAACCACACACCTCCTCGGCACCGGCTCTGTGAAAGACTCGTGAAGATGAAAAACCACTATAGGTTAATTTTCATTTTTGACTCTTTTATCGCTTGATGCGATATATATATAGAAGTGGTGATGGGCCGCCTGGACCAAAAAATGCCAGGGCCGATTTTTTGTCCCAGTTCAGCCCTGATAATCGCTATATTGCCAAAAAATTTGCTCTGTATTAAAACTTTACGGCATTGTAAACATACCAGTATGACTTTGTAAAGATACTTTGAATCAATGTGTTTGGTGAAAAGTGCTATACAAATAAATATGTCTTGACTTGACTTGACATTCAACACTCCATAATATAATCGACACAGTCTCTAGAAGCAGCTATCCACCTTATCCTTCATATAAGTGTATAGCATTAATGAAATGTCAAAGCTGCGCTGCTGTATTGTGTTCAAAGGTGAATGTGCTCAGGATGTGGCAGAAATCAAAGGGAAATTACGGATTAAGAACTCTCTTCTCTGGCCTGCCCTTGGAACCCAATGTGATTGTTCCTCCCTGCTGGGTTTTAAATAGAGCTAGCAAAGTTCGCTTCCGCCCCATCTCACACATCTCACCTATACCTTGCTTAGTATTCAACACCCTCAGCCTTCACCACATAGCCTTGTGTGTGTTTCTGTGCATGAGAGAGAGTGTGCACACATATTGAGAAGTGAAATCAAAGTGCTGACTAATCACCAGCTCGCAGTCAAATATGTTTGCCCTCACAGAAAACCATTCACTCAAGACGGCACCCTTCCTCTTTCCTTTGAACCCTCCTAGCTTCCTTTATCTCTCCTTCATTCATCCAAACCCACACTCGATCTTTCACCTTCATGCACGGTGCGCAGAGAGAACGGACAGAGCTCTCTATGTGCTCCTCTGGCAAATTGAGCCTGACTGTTGTCCCCACTCTGTATTCGGGGTGGGAAGTTGATGGAAAGCTTTGATAGAATACACGCGGGCTGTCAAACGGATGCTTCAGTCACCCATGAGGAGGAATTTCTTTTCCAATGACAGATCAAGGGTATAATTCCACAGAGGTGGGTAACAAGAGTTCTTACCAACGTGAAAGGAGCCATTCATGTACATCAACCTGGGTCTGCTGTCACCCAACACCTACAGTCTTATGAGAAAGCATGTATTGTCCCTGAAATCTAAAAGGCCCAAAATGCATGCATCAAGTTGTCTAAATACTAAGAAAGGGTCATAATGGTTGACTAGTGAAGTTGACTGGTTTATCTTGGTATACACACACATTTTAATATTCATATTATTAATAATATTAAAATTAAATTGATATTAATAATTATTTAATTTAATAATTTACATTTAAATCAAATAAAAAAAAAAATGGAAAAAAAAATGTATGTGCTTTGCTAAATACATGCATACTTAATACTTGCATGGTCAAATTCATCCGTTTAAATGCATTCAGACCTATGTATTTGGGCAATGTGTTTCACCATGAGCGTTGTGTCTTCAAGACAGCATGTCAGGTTAAAAATAATCAAAACCTTCAAAACCCCTGCAATCTGTTCCATTCTGTCGCTGTTTAGCTGTTTTTGAACCCAAGAGCACACCTTATGTCAGCGTCCCCTATAAAATGTATCTAATCAGGTCATCAATGAACCTAAAACCAGAATAAATATTCAAATCATCTTTAAGGCCAATTAATCGGACAAATCAGCAACCAGTCCATTTTGAAAATAGGTAGTTTCACACTTCCCAACCTATTGCCTGCATATGTCAGATGAATAAATTAAGTCCTTGATTGTTAAAGGGGTCATGAACTGAGAAATCAAAATTCCCTTGATCTTTTGACATCTAAGAGGTCATTGTACTTTAAAAACTTCCCAGAAATTTCAGAACTCAAAACTTTCTCGTTAGTCTAAAAACAGCTTATATTGAAGCTAATCTGCAAAAACAACAGGTTGTGAAATGTGCCACTTTATCACGTAATAGTGTGGCTAAACACCACCTCCATGCCTGATCAATGTCTGCTTCCACAGTACTGCCTGCTTAGCCCTGTCCACTGATTCGTGCATGTAGTGTAAATAACGAGAGAGGCAAACACAGGTCTACGCAGAAATCAAATGATAAAGATGGCTCTGAAGACAACAAGACTCTGTGCAGTGTCAATTTGTGGAAAAACAGTCTTTGCATTGCCTTCCTTCTGATCCCAACATTAGGAAAGAGTGGATGAACTTTATTTTTAATGAACTTACAGACCGCATCAGTTAAGAACTTAGTCCTTTGTTCACTTCACTTTACCGTGGATTCGTTCACAAACAAGGCACAATTCAACGCTGGATTTTCAGAAAAAATGAAACTAAAAGACGATGCTGTGCCGAATATATTGGATCTGTTATTACAGATCGTTTGATATGTACTGCGTATTTATGCATTTTAAACCTAAATCACAGCAGCGTCCATCTGTGAAGGCCGTAGGCTGTCAAACATACACATAAGTGTTAGCCAATCATAGCAGTGGCGTTTACTTCTGTGTCTACAATCCGCCACGCCTATTCAAAGAGAGCGTTCTGATGAGGGGGGTTAAAAACATGACAGAAAATAGCCTATTACTTCTAAATTATGATGTTTTTTGGTGTAAAAATCTTGATAATATTATAAGGGGTCCTCAGAGAACAGTACAAAATAATAAAAAAGGCAGTTCATAACCCCATTAAAGTTATTTGCAGCACAAAACATACAAATGAAACATGGCACTCACAATTCTGTTTTGAAGCTGGAGCACCTCGCCAGAGGGATCTTCAGCACTTTGTCATTCAGGCCCACAAAAAGAGTCCTGTCGCCATGGAGAATCTGAAGGCTCAGGATTGGCTCCCGCAGAGCAGGAGGGAAGAGTTGCATCTCCTCCAAGTAGCAACCTTGCAGGCTCTTATTAGTGGTTGCCAGGGCCTTAAGAATAGTTCCATACTCTGATAAGTCAGAACAGAAGGCAAAGCATAATTACACAAGGCTGCATAACTAATGCTAACTAATACTATTTATATAAGGATTTAATGGTAAACTTTTTGCAGACATGTGATTTAAAAGGTTTCTGTGTAAAAGAAAAATAAAAAACTGAAGTGATTAAGTTTGACTTTGACTAGTTACCTGTGCCTATGTACATGACGTGGTGCAAAGTATCCTGCCCCTGTACAATGTCAACAACCAACTTAGAGAACCGCACATCATCCTGCCAAACCAGCGGGTCCACAGAAACAGGCTGAACCACGTCATTCATGAGGTAGAGCCGCTGAGCGTCCTGCAGACTGCGTTCAGTCAGTCCTTCATTAGGCCCTTCTTCCTCTATGGTCCCACACTGGTAAGTGTCATTAGGGTTAGACTCATTAGCTAGTGTAGAGATCAAGCAGGGCAGTGCAAATATAAACTCACAAAAAAACTTTCAAACTTCTCACCATGTCATTTTATAGGAAAGTAGACAATAACTGTGAATTACTATGCATGCAGGTACACCCAGCTGGTATTGAGCAATTACTCTCACAGTGCCAGGCTGATAGAATTTATCTATTGGCTGTTTGTTTCAGACACACACACACAGAGAACAAAATGTAAAAGACATTCAGGGGGAATGATGCACCTGAAAGTTAGGGATGGGGTTCGGGGTGGGCAGCCACGTGGAGCGAGGGTTCTCCTGGGAGCGGAAGGGCCCACTGAAAGCCTGCATGATTGCGCTGAGGTTATACGCGCAAACTGCAGAGGCAGCAATGCTGTTCCTGGATCACAAGAAAGAAAGATGATTACAATTTAGTACTATGTTTATCGAAATTCTAAATACTAGTTTATACAGTGGTGTGAAAAAGTGTTGTTTTAACAGGGGGGCAAACACTTCTTCACACAGGGCAATGTAGTTTTGGATTTTGTTTTCCCTTAATAATAAAAACCTTCATTTAAAAACTGCATGTTGTGTTTACTTGTGTTATCTTTGACTAATATTTAAATTAGTTTGATGATCTGAAACATTAAAGTGTGACAAACATGCAAAAAAATAAGAAATCAGGACATCACACCACTGTATATATTTAATAAATAGTTTTTGTTCTATATCCTAACATTTATTTTGTCAAAAAGCAAAAATGAAACCATTAAAAATCAGTTCTGAATAATGGTTACGAACAAAAAAAAGTATCAGTACCATCATAAAAAGAATTGTTGATCTATAAAATAATATGATGGTATGTATTTTCCCACATACAGCATACAGTTCTTAGACCTTTACACTTCATGGCCTCAAGGCTGCACAGACAGTTATACAAATCTATAATCTTGAGACAAACATAAAAGTTCATAATCGGTTCAGCCAGGCAGATCTTGTCAGCTTCTTCTGGCATGAAACATTCTCAGATGCATTGTGACTTAATTAACTCCATTGATTTGAGTGACAGGTGGCCCAGAGACCCAAGTAAGCTGTCAGGAGCAGAGATGAGCTCCGCAGTGAATGGATTGGGTGGTTATTCTTATTACCAGACTCACACTGAATTTTGTACAGATGACAGTGCAGTTTCAGAAGCTGTTGAAGTGACAAAGAAAGGACAGAGTTTTGTCTTGTTACCCTGAGAAACGTCCCCTGAGCTTTCAGTATGCCCAGAGTTTAGAGGGATGCCAGAAGCCCTTAGGGACCAGAGCTATTATAGTCACAGCAGGACTATCAAAAAAAATGATACACTCATGCAAAAAAAAAAAGGTCAACTAAGAGGATCACTGAAAAGGGGAAGTTATTCTTGTTATCAGATTCATTGTTGTGTGCTGTTGAGACCGCACATAAATGAACAGCAATAATTGTGGTGGTAACACTGAAGCCACAGACAGATGGGCCCACAGGCAGAGCTCCAGGAGGGGGACTTGGCCTGCCAGACGCTGGTGTCTGGCTCGGGCTCTTGTTGTGTGGCCTGGTGAGGCATGGACTTGAAGAAGATTCAAGCCTGGATCTGCTGCTCGACCCTGGGGACTACATGTGAGGGGTTTGACATAGAAAGTTAGCGTGGTAAAATGAGAGGCTCTTGGCAGTGCAGCTCAAAAAGCTGATGCGCAGATGAAACATGGGCTATAAACCGGTCAGCCCTAGGATGCGAGGACAGAGCAGGCTCTGACAGGACAGCCAATTATCTCAAGCTATTTCTCCTCTTTCACTCTAGCATTCAAAAGCAAGACTCTGAAACTTTGTTATGAGAAACCACAAGAGTTTGTTTTTTGAGATTTTACCTCTCTAGTGAGCTGCTTCCCCACTGACTGCCTATATAGGCAGCAGAATACAGTTGCCAGTCTTGTTTTAGACTTCTAAATACAGGTATATTTACGCACAGCTTGATTATATATAAAAGTGACACCACATTCTACAACCAGAATAACTTCATTAAAATTTCAGGACTCAAACCGGCTAGTTGTCTTCCACATCATATAGTGCAATCTTCCAAGGATCCAGTTGCTTACTCTTTCTTATTCAGTCACTGTAAGGCTAGTTCACACCAAGGACAATAACTGTAAGAATAACAATAACGTTTTAATTATCACTCTAATTCCTTTAGAATAGAGACAACTACACCTGTCATTTCAATTCAAATTACAATTCAGCTTCTTGTGGGATGTGACCAATTCAATTCAAATTCATAGAAAAATCCATAATTGAAAGTGAGCCAAATCTGCTTCAGTTCTGAATTTTGCGAAACACTTGTGACTTTAGTAGGGTGGACATTAGTCATAGTCACATTATGAGACAAATATTTTCTCCAATACACATTGGCCACAATTATTAGCACCCCTAGAAATTCTTATGAATAAAATATCTATGAAGCATATTCCTATTCATGTTCACATTTTTTTTAGCATACCAACGTGACTATGAACATAAAATTGTCCAGCCATGACTCCCTGGAGTATACATTTCTTTTTGTAGGAATATAAATAAGAGGGAACACAAAGGCCAGCTTTCCTTAATCATTCATAGCAATAAGTAAAACCAAAGAATATACTGTATTTCTGATGTGCAGCAGAAGATTGTTGAGCTTCACAAAATGTGGTTGTATTCGCCATTTCCACCATCAGGGCAATAATTAAGAAATATCACAGTTGGACAATTGCAGAAATTAGTGGTCTGTGTAAAATGAAATTATAAAATTAAATGAAATTAAAAAAATAAAATCACCACAAGTTGCACAAAAAAAAAATCTTGAGCTTTTTGGCACACATGAGATGGGTTTTAAGGGGATACACCGGGATAAAAAAGTACCCCATACCCATGGTTAAATATACTGCTGGATCTTTAATATTGTGAGCCTGTTTTTCTGCCGGAGGTCCTGGACATCTTGTTCAGATACATGGCATTGTGGATTTTATCAAATACCAACAGATAAAAAAAATCAAAACCTGACTGCCTCTGCTATAAATCTTGTAATGTACAGTAGCTGGATCTTCCATCAGGAAAATTATCCAAAACAAACATCAAAATCAACACAAAAATTGATAACTGAGCACAAAATTCTCTAAGATTCTCCCATGGCCATCTCAGTCTCCTGACCTGAACCCTATAAGTGGCGTGAACTGAAGAGGTGAGTGTACTATCACGGACCGGGAATTTGAAGGATCTGGAGAGATTCTGTATGGAAGAGTTAGAGTTTTGTGATTTATTTTGAAGGAAAGGATATACAATGCAGATTTAACCTTCTTTGCTCATGTGCATCAAGGGGGCTAATAATTCTGACCTCAACTGTATGTTATCAATGTGCAAACATAGTCTATAAGTACTAGTCAAAATCTCACTAAAATGAGGAGCAAAAAATTAACTTGAGTACAACAGCGAGTGCAGCATATGCATGTTTAAGCAAGGTTTATAGTATACATACATACATAAAAATGCATAAATGCACTGTCTGGTCAAATGATGCATACCTCAGCTAAGTCACGGTGGCGTTTATTGCATTTATGCTTGTGCAGATGTGACTTTCAGACAGATGATGGTGCAGTTTTAAAGGCTGTTGAGGTGTGTAAAAAGTAAAGTACAGAGTTTGGTCCTATAACCCTTTGGAAAGTCACCTACGCTAGCAAATCCCATGACATGCTCAGTATAACACGCAACATATGGGAATGAAGTCTTCTCACTGTGAGAGCAGATGACTTCGGAGCTTTCCAAGTGACACGTACAGTAGATCACATGCTTATTTAGATGAAGTCATGTTGAGTTATGATGACAGAATAGACAATATGTCAAAAAGCACAGGGTCATTTGAGGTCATCCAAGAGGTCCATAAAGTTGATTTAGACATAAAGTAGGACAGCACTCAAGGGGAAAAGGGGGAGTAAAAAAATACATTACTTCAGTGTTTCGACTTCAGTGAATACCTGCATCGCAGCAAAAAAAACAAAGAGCCAACTCAGCAACCTTCCACAGCCAGGACTGAGGCAAGATTATTAATAAATATTTTTACAGCATAACAATATCTGCCCTTGTGGAAAAACGTGCACTCAAGCATTTGTTTACAAAGAGTACTAATTATCAAAATCATATCATAGTTCATCTGCGTGTACATAATTTATTATTTTTGAACAATACATAGCAACTTTATTGCCAATATCGCAAATTTAGTAAGTGCTGAAAAACTTCTGTAAACTTCTTCAGCATATTCTATAGCACTTTTACATTTAAATGCAATAAATATTTATATTAAATATTTATATTATGTTAAATATTTAAATGTAAGTATATTATACAAAATTTATATTTAAAGTATGCTGTTTGGTGTACCGATTTTACAGTGCTGTATTATAACAGACTGATGAAAAACAACAGAAAGCAGAAACCCTTAATACCATCAACTCCATACATCTACATGAACGAAATATGCATGGAATAAACTCGAAGCGAAGATTCCTGCTATGGGGTACAAAAAACTCATTTCAAGGTGGATTTTGTCATGCTGCATCACCGCGAGTGAAGAGATGCACTTGGCTGTTATTCTGTATTTGTTGTAATTCAGGCATGAAAGTGTGTGTATTCATGATAGACGTATTCATTCACACCCACAGATCTGTTTTCCAGAGGGGTTGTCTGTCATCATATTAACTGCCAAAAGGTCTGTTCCACCCAGTTAACCTGCAGGTGATTGACAGAAATGAGGATGATAGCTGTTCCTTCAAAAAGTTAATTAAAAAGGTAGAAAATAAAAAAGAAACCACATCAAAATAATTTGAAATGTGTTTAAACATTTCCTTCTTCATCATACCAAAATGTATGAATAAGGGGAAAATGTCCAATTATATTGCAAAATAAACCTAGAAAGGGTCATCGAGAGCTAATAAATTAATCCTACATTTAACTTAAATAAGATAAAAAGACCGCAGAGTGATATGTGAAACTAGCAAACGATTTGACCACCAAATGCGATTCTGACTGACCAATCAGAATCAAGAGACCCATGTAGTATGTAGTAAATCAGCTCAAAAGGGAAATATTTATGACTAATTATAACTGGTTATGATTAATAATAAATATTTAGATTAGATCTTCGAATTAACTGTAGCAGAATCAATATTACCATTACTTGATCTGTCCGTCCACCGAGCAGACAAAATAATAATTTATCAATTCAAAGAAAGATTATTTTCCTGGCCAAGGAAGAATACTTTCCTTATTTATGCAGTGCTAGCAGTAATTTAACATATGTAGCAAGGGTTCAAAACATTCATTGACTTCGAATTGTGAGCAGCAAACAGAGGCAATCGATCGTGGCACCCGTATAAGTGTAAAGTCTGTGACCAGGACTGTAATTTAATGCAAATGTCAAAAGGCTAAAAGGGTCTCTTAAGCCATAAAACCCCAAAGATCATGCATGATTCTACGCAGACACTACAAGTACGTTTTATAAAAGCAATAAAAGAAAGAAAAACAATGATTTTAGCCATCGCGGAAAACCAATTTACAAAAATTAGGTAAAATCTCTGCAAAGTGCAACCTCTCATGACTTATTGCTTTTATAAAATGCAGAAACAGCAATTTAATGAAACATTCCAATGTTCAAGTTAAATTTATGAATAATAATAATCATAAAACAGCCAAGGAGCCCATGCCAAACACTGAAAAGATTATATATCCATGTATCCAACACAGAAAGGAAAAGAAAAGGTCTGTATGTAATATACTTAAAAATACAAAAAAAAAAGATTACATTACTTAAGTTGCTTTTTACAATACATCTAATATAGCTGATACTGTCTGTAAGCTCAGTATGAGGACATATACTGCTTTGACACCTTCAGCTCAATGAAAGTACACACTCACGCTGCCAATACCTCGGGACAAACTACTACCAACACTTTCAGGCATTTTTGGCTGCTCTCTTGCATTCTGTCTCACTCCGCTCCTCCCATGCCCACCCTCCCTGTTTTGCAGCCCCAAACCCCAGGGAGCATTGCTTAAGGTGTTCAATTTACCACAGACAGATGGAGACTCTGTTGTTCTGATTGCATTACCATATTCCGTTCCTACTGGGGCAGTGAGTGAAAGGGGACAGGAAAAAACACAAAAAAGAAACAGAGATAAAATGAGTGAGAACAAGAGAGAGATAGGGAGAAATATAGGGAAGGAGAGCAAGAGAAGGTGAGTATTCAGATTTATATACTGCCATACTACTTGCTATTTGAAATGTTGTTTGTAGTATGCATACTGTCAAGTAGTGATAAAAAGTGATAGATAAAAAATGCTGGTCCACCACTAGCGGACATACTGCATATTTTCTGGAATATCTCAGCAAAAATGTTGCTTTCCATTTATTTAATCGAATGTAATGCATAAGTGATTCATCCTATAGGACAGAATCTCCAAGAGGTGTTGCACTACCAAGTTGGGTAGAAGTGATTTTGTTGCATACTGCATGATGAATCAACTGCTACATTAAATAATATGTAGTAAACAGCATGTAGCAAGATATGAATATACCGCGAAAGAAGCACTTGGTGATGGTCAGGAAGAATGAAGATTTCATTAAAAAGATCTATTAGGAAAGGTCTGTGACAGCTAACACAGCAATAACATAATTCCTAATGTTATTAGATTCATATTAATCTGCAATACTTTGTTAGCAAATTGACTTGCAATTAAGGTCAAAAATATGCTTGTTAATCTAGCGCTTATTTATTTTCTTGTTCTAAGTTGTAACAGAGGTGGATGGATGCAGCATATTCCTGTACTCCTCTCTAAGGCCTTCTCACATTTCATGAACACACTGAAACAGACTTAAAGGGTTAGTTCACCCAAAAATGAAAATTAGCCCACAAATTACTCACCCTCAAGTAGGGATATGCCAGTATCAAATTTCGTAATAATCACTTTAATGTAGCTTGCGCCAACGGTCCTACACGGAAGCAGCTCCGGGCTGATGACGTATGAGGTCAGCTTTGCGCATGCGCCGCTCAGGAGTGACACACACCGAAGCGCAGGGGAGAGATCAAAACAAAATCCTTTGCTCCTGTTAACAAACGTTGGTTTTCACGAGACTCACCGGCGCATGCGCAGCGCTGACCCTCATACCTCATCCGCCCGGAGCTGCTTCCTGTAGGACTGTTGACGCAAGCTACATTAAAGTTATTATTACGTTTTGAATATGGATATTTTTCTTACAAAAAACGCATCGATTCGAGGCCTTTGTTCACCCCCCGGAGCTGTGTGAGACATTTTATTTTATGGATGGGCGCTTTTTATTTAACTTCTTTTGGACTGATGCATGCAACACCCGCTGAGTGGCATTAAACAGCTTGAAAGATCAAAGACAATTTTTAATATAACTCCGACTGGATTCGTCTGAAAGAAGAAAGTCATATACACCTAGCATGACTTGAGGGTGAGTAATTTGTGGGCTAATTTTCATTTTTGGGTGAACTAACCCTTTAACCTGTTAACTTAAGGTGCAATTCAAATTGTTCATCTTGACAAATGATATTCACAGCTATTTGGGTTTGCAAAGCATGGGTTTCCTAAACATTCACTTCCCAAATTGTATATATGGACATAATGGGCCTCATTCATGAAACATTCGTAAATATATGAGTAAATTCTGAGTAATTTATGCGTAAAACGGACCTTCCCGAAAACTCTCCTCCGGATTCACAAATACTTCGTAAAGGTCAGATTTGATAGTTAAATGTGTGTATGTTAATGAGATCCAATCATTCGTAAATAGGGCGCGCATGCACGCTCATTCACAGCTACGCAAATTACGTATCTAGGAATGGTGTGAAATCCTTGGACTCAATTCTCAGGTTTGGTAAGTTATATAGCATAAATGTATAAGAGACTAATAGGCTATATGCCTAACAATAAATGAATAAATTAACGTGTGTCAGACCAGAGCGTTTTTAGCCAGCTGACATAATGCCTGGTGCTCTTCTGAAAACGACTAGCTGGTGGTGTTTGAGAGAGCTTTGGAGGCACTGCATTTTTCTGGAGTGAGGCGTTGTTTTCTATGATTTGGAATATTCACGGCAGGAACATATTACAAGTATCTTATTTTGAAGAATATTACTGAATATAAAAATGCAGTAACCAGCAATATTAACTTCTCCATTGTTGTGTTGTACAAGTATGATCATGGTTGGTCAATGTAATGTTTGTCCCGCCCCTCCTCCACTGAGATTGGACGGCTGTGTAAAAAGGGACAGTGATGATCTCTGCGTTTTACCCAAAGTTAAAGAGTAAAAAACGAAAAAAAGACAGGGCAAATGAACTCGTTAAATATCATTCTAATACATAGTTCATAAAAATGCAGTGTCATCATTTCGTTTGAATGTTTTATGCACCGTTTACACATGGTAGGGAGCAGGTGTAAATTTCTTTAGTACCAACTAACATTTTCAAAATATGAACATTTTCATGAATCCGAAAATTTACGTCAGAACGACTTTCCGAATGATTTACACAAAAAATCGTTCTGCTCGTGTTTCATGAATGAGGCCCAATGTATCCATCAGGATATAAGTTCTTCGATTTTTACACAGCTATGAGCAGCTTGATTTGTAAATATGAAGGTGCTGGAACGCAAAGGGCATAGCTACTGTATAGGTCCCAGAACGTGCATAGAACATGTGTACAGTATATATATTATGCTGATTTTGTGTTTGATGACTAGACTTACACGTTGGTGGTGAAGATGCCATAGATGAGATCCTGTTCGGGCAGGTAGAAGGTGCTCTGTAGTTCATTGTAGTAGAAGGGGATCTCTCCCGACCGTGAGCAGTTGAGTCGGGCCTTTGTGAAGGTGGTCCACGTGTCTTCCAGCAAGAAGCGGCCCCCTATGTCGTTCTTACACACCCGCGCCACCCGCGAGTACACCGTCTTACCGCAGTCGTGTTCCACTGCGTTTTCCCTCAAGAAGAAGAAGGTGAAAAGACCCACGTCGTAAGCCGAGATGAAGTGAGGCTCTAAAGGAGAAGGAAAAAAAGCGTGGCTAAACATCTTACAGGCACAACAAGCATTTCAAATGGGTACGTCTATAGCAGGACTCTCAGTAATGCAGCATAAAGTGGTTTAAACACCAAAACAACGACTTTACTTCCATAGCAAACTGGCCTGAATCCCTGTTTCACTCTTTCTTAATATCCGCTTATGCCTGCCTAGGACTGGAGCAGAAATCTGTGTGCATTTGACATGCAAAAATTATTCGGAATATAAAAAGTTGTCCCGTTGGTCCAGGTGGCACTGGTCTGGATTGCATTAGTCAGAGTTAATATCGCACACTCTGAATAATGTCTTACCCCCAAGGCCTGTTTATTCCCCAGCCCATCCAGTAATGCATGCCACAGATATTCACCTGTAAATAGGCATGACTAAAATCACTGCTGGGGCCATCGCAGCAGTTTACGAGAATGCGATTACTGTTACGCTGTGAAGCCCAGGAGAGGCATCAATAGCCATAACTGCTTTTGATTCAATTTTAAACACAATAAATACCAAATCTCAGAGGACACAGACTCAGAAACAGCCCAGAGAAGTATTTGCATACGACACTGCAAACGATACTGCTCTATCTGCAAAAACTAACTGCAACAGAATTACATGGTCAAAACTGGACTGGAACTTTGTGCACTGTACCATGTGTTGGTCCAAAAATCACTATAAGACAACATCAGCGTAGCCCATATGAATTAGTGCTATATTCAGTGCTTTCATCTGAAACCAGAGAAAAGCTTTTTAGTGAGAAACAGGCAGAACAGTATTTGTTCTTCACTGACAAAAAAAACTAAATTATACTTTATTTCAGGCTCATATCATGCTTTTTGGTTGGCAATGTAAATACTTTGGTATATAAATTTGTACCATGGTGTATATATAAAATATAATGGTATTAAATGCTTGATCCAATCACTGTACCATGGTGAGTAAATGAAGAAAATTAATTTGGGTTACTAATAAAAGTACCATGGCATTACCATGTTTTTTTTTCTCCCCGTATCATGGTAAAGACAGGGTTTAGACTTACTAAGGCAGTATCATGGTTTTTGGACACATATTTAAAGTACATTGAAGCACCATGTAAATACAGTGGTATATGAACATGCACCAATTTACACTACTGTGTAAGTTTGGGGTCAACAAAAGTTTAAAACAATTTTATTTTATTTTATTTTATTTTATTTTATTTTAAAGGAATTCATATTAAAGTGACATAAAGACTTTTAATTATTTTATAATTATTATTTAAATTATTTAAAAATAAATGCTGTTTCTTTGAATTTTATATTCACCAAAGAATTCTGAAAAGAGTATCACAGTTTCCACAAAATAATAAGCAGCACAACAGTTTTCAACATTGATAATAAGAAGAAATGTTTCTTGAGCGCCAAATCAGCATATTAAAATGACTACTACTGTTTTACTGTATAATCAATAAAATAAATTCAGCCTTAGACAGTATAACATTACATACTGACACCAAACTTTTGAACAGTACTGTATATAATACCATGGTATTAACATCCGATTCCATCCCTGTATTTTAAACGTGAATAAATGATGACTGATGATGAATTTTCACTAAAAAGTATTATGGCCTCATTATATTTTGGATATGGAATCATGCTAATGGCACATCACGTCTTATGCTTATTTGGTTGGCATTTTATGTATCTGGTACCAGGAAAAAAAACACTAGTACATTAATATTTATCATAGAATACAGTACAGAAGTTATATGTCAACACCTCACTGTACTATGGTACATTTTGTAAGCAGTGAACCTTAAAAAAAGATCCAATTCTCTCTCCAGAAGCATTAACAGAGGATTGTTGTGAACAAACAATTCTTCTGCTTTCAGTTTCAATGAGACATCATAACTACACTTCCACACAGATCAAGGTGAAGAAAGTGGTCAGAGAGGCACAGTGAATACCAATACAGATCCATTCAACATTAGAATAATTACTTCCCAGTGACTGCAGGAATTCATCAGGTTTTTTGCTAAGCTAAAAACAGGCAGGGTGTGAGTGTGCTGATTTGTGAGGGACTGAACATGACAAACGGTATTTTCCTTCTTCCATGCTGAACGTAAATACTGCCTCATTTCCACACCGCCACTCCATCAGGGGTCCCTGTATGTGTGTGTGTGTTTATCTGCGAGCCACAGTCAGGGGAAAACACTAAGCTGGGAAGTGAATTATGAGTCCCAATATGCACCAGAGGAGAGAGGCATGTGCTAATAGCCACGCTGCAGGCGATGATGATATTTCTCATTGAATCAGAGCTGTGATAAAACAATATCACATCTCACTTCGGGTACAACCCCACATGGGCTCAGTGTTAAAAAAAAAAAACATTCAGTCAGCACCTGGCACGAACGATATAATAACAGTCCGGTTGGATTCGATTGTAGACCCTTGAGGTTCATGCCTTCTTCACTGACCCCAGTTGAGAAATAAGTTTTTAATTCACACTTCATCTCTATCGAGTCCACATCCCGCTAACACACATGATTAAAAAGGTTATTGGTTTTACTTTGGCTAAACTGGAAAAGCTATTTTTCAAGACAAATGGTGTTCAGTTGTGCAACTATTAGCAAACCACTTGATAATGTTACTACCCATTAGCCAAATAGCTACTTTAGCTACAAATAGAGCTTTTTTTTTTTTTGCTGACTCACAATTCATGTTTTACTTTCATGTTTTAGTTCGGCTAAACTGAAAAAAGGCATATTTGAAGAGAAATGTTATTCAGTTGTGCAACTATTAGCAAACCACTCGATAATGTTAGCCTACTACCCATTAGCCAAAATGCTACTTTAGCTATTGGCGCATCATAAAGAGGAAGATGCGACAAAGAAGACCTAAGACAGTTGAGCAACTAGAAGCCTGTATTAGACAAGAATGGGACAACATTCCTATTCCTAAACTTGAGCAACTTGTCTCCTCAGTCCCCAGACGTTTGCAGACTGTTATAAAAAGAAGAGGGGATGCCACACAGTGGTAAACATGGCCTTGTCCCAACTTTTTTGAGATGTGTTGATGCCATGAAATTTAAAATCAACTTATTTTTCCCTTAAAATTATAAATTTTCTCAGTTTAAACATTTGATGTCATCTATGTTGTATTCTGAATAAAATATTGAAATTTGAAACTTCCACATCATTGCATTCTGTTTTTATTCACAATTTGTACAGTGTCCCAACTTTTTTGGAATCGGGTTTGTATTAGCAAACCACTCAATAATGTTGCTATCCATTACCCAAAAAGCTACTTTAGCTACAAATAGTGCTTTTTCATGATTCAACTTATTCACAGTGGATAAAAGTATTTTTTTCATGTTGAACATTCTCTTTCACTTTGAATTATGTCATAATATGGAAGTAAAATAGCAATTCAGACTAACTTTAAGCTTTCTTGTGCTGATTTTATTTAAATAAGTCAATATATGTGTTGACGCAGGTAAATGTGTAAGCTTCAATAATCTTGCTTCCCTCTTTTTGTCTTTCACTCTCCTCAAGTGTGAACCTACAGTGGAACTACAGGCCGACTGAGTGACGTGAAGCGTTGCAGCTGCAATTTCACCCTCTCTCGGTCATGAGGAATAATTACACTGCTGGATGCCTGAAAGTTCATCTCCTCCGCCCAATCCTAACTCTCCAACCCTTGTCTATGTCCTTCTCCTTTCACCTCAACTACCCTCTGACATCTCCTCACTGTATGACTTACAGCTCTGGCATCAGAACTTTCTGCTTATTCCATTTTGACTGGCATTGGATGAATTTTCTAAGGGAAAAGGCACAGTGTCAGCAGCTGGGAGATTATTGACACCTTTTGACTTTGTGCAGGAAGTGTGCTGAGTTTCGTTTGTCTTTATCTTTGACTGGTTCCTACCTTGACAGGCCAGGGCTGCTCTAAAAAACTGCCTTCGACACAAAAGATACAATTGTGAGAGTGCAGCTTTGCTTTTCTCACTTTTTGCTAGGTATCATATAGGAACTTGTCATACTGTATGCACTTACAGTGGGTCAAACAAGGAACAGGGTTATTTTAGTTAACTAAAACCATAAAAAAACATTTAGTTACATGAAATAAAAAATGTTAATTGAAAAGGCAAAAATAAATAAATAAATGAATTACTTCAACGTTGCCGTAAAATAAATAAATACTTTATAGACATATTTGAACAAAAACACACAACAAAATTACTGACTTCTAAGACTTTACAATTAAAGTGAAAACAAAATATATATATATATACAGGTGCATCGGACATTCTAATTTATTGAGATGCACCTGTATATATATAAAATAAAAACTCTAAATATTACCAAAACTTTATTAGTATATCAATGATACTAAAAGAACACTGCAGCACCTCCAGAATAAATTATTTTGTATCACTGATATACTATTATAGTTTTTAATATTAATATTAAAAAATGTAGTTTTTATTTTTATAATTTCAGTTTTCATCGTAATTTTAGTTAACGTGTTAGCAATTTAGCGGTGTATTTGTCATTTTATTAGTTCTTTTTTAATAGGTCTATACAGTTCTTAATTCATTTTTATTTTAGTACTTGAGAAATTATGCCTTGGCAAGTGGCTACAATTAAAATATTTTTTTTTATTTCAGTTAACGTAAATTTTATTTCAAGTAACTATTTTTTTATGGCTTTAGTTTTAGTTGATAATAACACTGGTCAGATGTTTCTCCTAAAGTTTGTGTAAAAGACACAAATAAGACGATACAGTAAGAGTATACAGAGACTATGCAGATAAACACAAATAACAGAGCTGAGATCATCTGATGAGAAATGTTTGATGAGACACGTTTGAGATAAGAGACTGTGAATTATTATTTTTTTTTAGATCTATACAAGGAGGTTATTGTGGGGTTTTTAATTAAGAAAACATTTGAGAAGCAGGAGACTTAAGCAAAACAACTGTTTGATTTCCATTTATTCATGTTGTCTAGGGGAAACAACTTTTCTTTCCTATGGGGAGTGCTATTAGCATACACAAAATTAAATAAATGTCTAATCAACAATTTTCTTTTGAAGAACAACATTCAGCAATTTTGGCTGCATATTAGCAGGACAGAAAAAAGGAAGGGCATCAAGAGAAATGTCAAAAGTTTTCAGACAATCCCTGGAATATGAGACTATCAGACATGAGATGATGAGATTAAGGCGTACAGCTCTCCGCTTTCGGTCACCACAGCCGTCGAATTATGACGTGGGTCATAGGGGCAGCGGGCCACTCCGTTCACCCTCTCCAACACTCTGCTCATGTTCCCTACCTGAGAGGTGGATACGGTATGGATTACACACACACTTTGATAAAAGCTCCAGTTTAGGCAGCTCATTTAACTGATAGATGCTTACCTCTCTGGTGATGCAAAGGGGCTGGAAGGCATTGGTACCGCAGGTGATCACCTCTGTCTTGTTGACAAGCAACACCCGGATGTAGTTTTGACACTCCACCTGCAGGAGCAGATGCACTTGACAGTATGACAACAGCAGTGGCATGTTCAAAATACTATGGTACTGCATACAATTTAAAATATGTAATTAAAAATGTATGCAAATAGCAGTATGCTACATTGCTGTGACAGAAATTCACTGCGTTCCATGTTTAAGTCATGTTTAATTTTGTGAATGTCTTCTGTGAAATTAACTTTTTACAGCCCCATCAAATAATAAGGTGAGAAAGATTTCAAGAAAAATAAAGTTTCAGCTGACATTGGTTCATGCATCATAGTGGAAATAGAAACTTCAACTTAAGCACATTGCATTGTGGGATTCAGTAAACCAAATCTGGCTAATCATCCGGTCATCCATACTACAGAGGAAATCTGCATCAAAAAAATCTTAAAGAAATGCTAATGGCATGTCTTTTTTCCAACTGGAAATAATACAGATTTGCTTTTTTTTTTTTAATCTTTAATAGGGTA